TTCCCTAAAGCCTCCTTTCTCCTCTCAGTCAGGTCCTGTCCTGCCTGCTTGCTCTCCTATGTTATACCTCTGTTCTTGAATAATTTGGGGAAAGCAACATAGACAGTCTTAGTCAAAGTTAAAGGTTACCTTGCCTTAGAGTACCTTTGTTGCCTTTCCCAAAATTAACTCCTGGTCTTGTAGCTCTACTAACCCAACTGTAAGAACATAATCTCTCACCATTGTGGTCTGAAGCATACTAGACCTTTCATTTCCATTTTGCTGCGGAGACCATCTAGAAAATCTGTTGGCTTCTTCATAGCTTTATCCTGTTTCCCTGAGCCAAGTAATGGAGGGGAGACCTGATGTATAAGACAGCAAGCACTTGGGTTAGGAGGGACAGACCTGTTCTATTTTTTGCGAGCAAGAAGATATTTTCTGTTCCTTCTTTTAATGTTAAATGAATTAAAAGACTGCCAATGCATTCCAGCCCGTTGCTGGCAAGGCGCCAGTTCAGCCTTCCCTTAGTGCAAGTATCTACCAGGGATCGAAATGCCTTGTTCTTGGCAAGCATGTGTGGGAGTCAAAGCAGCGTGCAGATCTTTTTCATTTTCTTAGGGGAAATTCCTACCCTGTTCAGGCACAGGAACACCAGCTTCTTTAGGACAACAGAGTTATATCCTAGTGCACTGCCAATGGTGAGCCCTGGTCTTTCTGTCTTAGATAGCTTTGGTCCTAGTCATTTTGTCCACGCTCTGAAAACGAACCGCACTACATGTGGTACAACAGGAGTCAGATATGACTGCTATTTCAGATATGCATGAACTAGGGGAGAGGCACCATGCCCCACTCAAGACATCCCTCCATGAGATATGATTGCAAGGGAAGATGATAGCGTGGGAGGCAACTCTACAGATTTGTGCCATTAGAATACTTTTCTCTTTAGCAATGGAATTTTCATTTAATCAGTTTCTGCCAGATTCCCTCTTCTTTGAGCTCTTCAAGTTCACCAAAGGGCCTGTTTCTGAAGCACACTGTCTCGTCCAATTTTTTTTATATTTTCCTGCCATGCAACGTTGTGCTTAAAAGGAAGAAAAAGACACAAAGGGAAGATGGAAAAACAGAGATGTGAAATGTCTCATGGGAGATGCTTGCCCTTACCATGTCACGCTAGTTTAAATACAGTTCCCACACATCACATGTCAAGCTGTACTTGATTGTTTTCAAATAGATGGCAAAAATCATGAGAGGAGGAAAATGTTCTTTTGTGTGACATGTTCTTCTTTTGATACATTGGGTTCTGTAGCTGTCAAAGCAAGGGCTGTTTTTCCATCTATTATTACAGATGCATTTGGGGTAAATCTCTTCTGCAACTCTCTATTCCCTTGATTGTTTACTTCATTACAAGTGTTATTGTTTTATTTTTTCTAAATCTATCGAAACGTTGAATTTTCAGTGGTGCATTTTCTCTATGATCCTCAGTAGGCAATGAGATTCTTTCTCAGTGGAGATTTAGATCACATCTGGAAATGCAGTCTGTTTTAAGTATTTTCTGCTTTTCTGGCAGGAGAATGGAATATTTAATTTCATTATTCAGCATAGGGTTATTCATTTCATGCAATGAAGGGAAATTCATCAATATTGTCTTCGGCATCCAGAAAAATGATACTTACCATGACTGTTTCACATACTCTATTCATATTTTATATCTTTCTCATCACTCAGCAATTATTCATCTCTCTGCTGAGAGGTGAAATTCTTGTATTGAGTTACTATAATTTCTCTGAACTCCTGAAAGCAATTCAATCACTGAAAGCAATTGCTTTTACTTAAAGATATTTCGTGAGACAGATTCACCAAATACAAATAACTGAATAAAGGTTACTTTTTCCTGTTGATTTTCAAGAACATTTAGTGATACTTTATAAAAGGGGTAAATCAATGTTGCTACATCTTAACATTCATTGCACTAATATTAATCATGATGGATTCTTGGAGATGGAGGCAAATGTGATAGTGCAAGTAAGTGGGAATGCAGTTGAAATGCAACGTTAATTCATTCCCAGTTGTTATTAAACGTCACAAGATAGTCATAGTTTTGTTGATATTTTCCTTTTTAAACCACTTGGTGTAAAAAAACCCATCAGTGTGATGTATTTGTCTATGCAAAGTCATCAGGATAATTATCTCTGAATCTTTTGAATTATGTTTAATGTAGAGTGTAAAGGTGGTGATAGACTGTACCCCATTCCCACAGAAATCAATTAAAGGTCTTCTGTTTGGGAAGTGGGCACAGTGGGAACAGAAACAGGCTTAGTATCACGATATGTAGTTTCTCTTACAATCAGTAAAACAGATTTTCTCATTTATCTTATCCTCTGAGATGTTTAAATTTTGAACATCAGCTGATTCAAATTTTATGTTTGGGGAATCCAGGCACTGAGATGATTTGTGTTTAGGGCATTGAACTGGGACTCGGTAGATCTGGGTTTGTTCTGTCATGCATTTCCCATATGATCTTATGCAAATCCTTTATTGCCTCTCGCACAGCCTCATCAGTAAAATAGGGTAATGTTACTCCTCTTCTTGTTCGAAGGATTTGTTAACATTTGAATGGCTTATCTGCAGTGGATTGCTGAGGGCCGTGTGAAAACTTACAATCTTATTTAAATGTGCTGCTTTACATATATATCCTTTTTTCATTTTATGCTTCTACACCTACTGCTTTCTTACAGCCCCCTCATGGGACTCTTTCTTTCATTCTTTTCTTTATAAGCAATCTTCCACAGGCTGGCCTTCTCCTCCAAATACATGCTAGTCAGGTCCTGGTTTTTAAGCTCAGCAAGGCAGGTAATATGTATGAGTGGATATATATGTGTTGGAGAGTCACTATGTGAGCTGTACTTCATGTGGATAACCTTTGGTGATCCAACTGACAGGTTTGTGCTTGGGAAACTAGATCTTTGATGTATTTTTGTTCCAGGTATGTCCCCTCAAATGATTCAGATGTACAGTTCTCAGTCACAGCAGTTCATATTGATTTCAGTGATAAGCATCGTTTACATAAAAACCCAAGAATGCCATTTCAGATCAAGTATTCAAATAGCAAAACCAATACTGTGCACAGTTTTTTTTAGAAAGGATATTATATTAGTGTATATATTCACACAAAACTATTTGCATAAATGCTTCTGTGTTTGCCACATTGGCCTTTGCAAAAAAAGTACATTTATTGCTTGAGGCTTTTAACTTAAGCTACATGTATTTTTTAGCTTAAGTTGCATGATCATAAAAGCCAGTGAGCGTTTACTGGAGTGAGCAGGTCTGGTCATTGTTCTCTATCAATCAGCAGTATCTGGGATGGAACAGGGATTTCAATAGCAGCTACAGGAGATGTAGCTACCCGCTCTCTATAGTTTTAATGGTGAGAATTCCATATCCCCTGGAATACTGTTTCTTTGATGTCTTCGTTTGCACCGCATGGACAAATGTGACCTACTAATAGCATCTGCTCTAAAACCGTTGCTGACTAGTGGCTCTTTGAGTTTGGTGTAGATGGGGCAGGTATGGAAATTTAAAAACACCCTACTGCCAAACAAATGAGTATATCTTTATCTAAAAGCACTAAATGTATGGACATTTACAGGCTTCCTTCAAGAAAGCAGTAAGAGTCATGGTTTACCTGCAAACAACTGCATTTTCCTTAATGAAACTTCCATTCAGACATTGTAGATATCAAGCCAGCCAATATGGAGGACCTCACGGAAGTGATTACAGCCTCCGAGTTTCATCCCCATCACTGCAATCTCTTTGTCTACAGCAGCAGCAAAGGATCCCTGAGACTCTGCGACATGAGGGCATCGGCTCTCTGTGACAAACATTCCAAGCGTAAGTCCTTGCTTCATTGAGGCCCAGATATCATTAAAGGCTTACTATTCACGGACAGCATGTAGATGTGTGCATACCCCAGTGTAGTAGCTTCTCAGGCACAGTTGAAAAAAAAACAGCAAAAGGAAGAAAATTTTCTCATCTGTACAAGTATTACCTATGAACTTGATAAGTCCTGTCTGTGACTGGTTGCCCTGGTGGTTCTTATTGCAGGGATCAGTGAAGAACCCACAACTCTCTAGCAAAAGAGAGAGGATTCCTAACAGATGAAATATGGGGGGGGGCAATATTTAAGCAGATGAGCATGCTGTTTTGAATACAAAACTACTGTTCCGAATACTGCAGCAAGTAAATTTTGTCATTCAAACTGCCTTCAAAATTTTGAATCCATTTTCTGGATTAAAAAATGTCAGAGTGCTTCCTAAAAATTTAGCCCAGCATTCCCTATATGTGCTTTTCCAATTATGTGTCTGTACAAATACAGAGGAAATAATGCAATAAGTAATATTGGGGGGGGGGGGGGGAAAAAAATTTTCTGGTATAAATGCGTTTTTTTTTTTCGTAAAAAATAAGGAGAAAAAAAGAAAAAAGGTAATTTTGGGGGGGGGGGGGAGAAAAAGATACTGTGTTGGTATAGAAGGTGTCATCTGTCCTACAGCGGTTTTATGTAGCCTGAGAGACTTTGAGATGGAACCACCAATTCGTGACAGTTCATATCTGAAACCTACATAAGAACAAGAAAGTAAAATGTTAAAATGTGGGGCTGTCTTTGTTCTCGAAGTAAAGGATGAAGGAAAATGCATGTTCATAATGTCTTGCTATCAGCTCTTCGTAGTCTAGTTAAGACAGAATACGGTTCTTCCCACCAGTAATGAGGCAAGCCTGGGCACTTCGCCTTGTGCAAACAATCTGTTTATTCCTGATCTTCTGAGACTGAAAACCACCAGACAAAGGCATTGTGTCGTGTGGCTGGTTGCCGTGAGGAGCTGAGAACCTAATGAATGAGCTGTGGTGGCTCTGCTTTAGCCACCTTCCGGACTGGGCCTTCCAGGACACTTCCGTCTCACAGAATTGAGTCTTCAGTTTCTTTTGCAATGTTGAAACATTGGGAAGGAAATTCAGGAGAAATTCTCCTAGTGCCAGGGGCACATAAGAGATTTTATGTCATTCAGTTCCTACTTGAACCTTTTGAGGTAGGCGGATCTTATTAGTAGGGGGGAGGGGGGAGAAAATATTGGAAGATTTAAGTGAGACATAAGTGGTGCACAGATTTAGCACACAAACTATTTTTTTAACTGAAGTAAATGTACTAAAGAGAATATGACTAGGCTTTTTGGCTGCAAGGAGAAGTGCACATGCTCAGAACCTCTTAGGACGTGGTCTCCAATTATAGAAAATAACATTTCAGGACAATTTCCTAAGCAGGGAAGTGTTTTACCTTGCTTAGCTGTATCCCCTTGTACTTGTAGGGGGAATTCAATACTATGAAGTGAAATGCGAGCAAGATACAGTCTGGCACATTGTTGTGAGTTATCCTGTCCTGCTTAATTGTTTTGTTCCGTAATACTTTCCTTTCTTCCTGCTAATAAGGCCTCCATGTCCCTGTAACTCAGTGCCAAATGCCAACCGTAACTTATTAAAACAACAATACAGTAACCCTGGATGAAAGAAGGCATTTTATGCCAGAAGGGAGCACAAGGTCTAATGGTCATTGATTAAACCCCATTTTCCAGATCTATGAGTTAGAAAATAGCCATTTAATGTAGCATTGCTGCACTGAACTCAAGTCGAGCTCATTGAGAAGCTGAGTGTGTACAATACAAAATTGATACAGCAATGGTAGAACTTCCAAAGTGTTAAAAGGAATAGGCCCACGTACTGCTGATTGGAGTGGTTTGAGTATAGCTCTCAGAGGCAAGCAAAACTAATTATATAAAGCCCATAGCGACCTAAAAGGTTATATCATAAAAACCAATCAGTCTGGGAAATCAAATATTTGCATGATTGTCTCTCTAGTACCTTCCACTGTGCATCTGATTCCTCTTTGCAGTTGTTTTACACGTGGTGCATATGCATGATCAGTACCCTACTCTCCTAGCTCAGCTCGCCCTCCCGCCCTTCCCCATAACTGACTTCACTTCTCAACCAAAACAGCTACGACGATAGTCACTGTAAACCCTCATGTTCTGCCATGCAACCCTACTTTCCTAATTCAGTCTAATATCACTATGTGCTGTATTTCAGATGCTGTTCCGAGATTGTAATGGATGTACATATTTTTAGAGATAAAAGATCCAACGTAAAACTTATAAAAAATACCTGGATGCTGAGCGTATGTTGTGAACTTCTGGTTTTACCCCTTTTTCAGAGCCTTTGTTATCCAAATCTCTATAGCCGGGCTAAAGTCTAGCTTTTGGGGGAAGGGCCCTTCCATTTGTACAAGTCTAGAGAGTGCCATGAATAATTACTGTGCCATACCGTATAAATAAATTACATACTAATATCTGTAGTGTAAGTCACTGACACAGGATGTTAATAAATTATAGTGTTCTTGAACATTTCTGGTTTGCTAAACTCAGTGGCAAAATCTCTCTGCTTGGCATTAGTGACAGCAACACTACAAGGTTTCCCTTATAAATCTTTCATGGCTCTGACATAGAAGAGACAAGAGACGACTTCTGTATCTACTCATCCTTGGTGCCTATGCTGAGATTTATTAGCAAGCTGCCAATTTGTGTGATGAGTTGTAATGGGGACCTCTGTCCCTTAGAAAAATGGTCTCAGACCACCAAATCCATCCATAAGGCATTGACAGAATATCAGGTCAGTAGCTGAGTTTTAAATGGTCATTGAGATACTGATAAGGTGTGATAAAATGTGTTATTTTTCTAATAGACTACCTGAAACTGCTTCTTATAACACCTCTTTAATAGATCATGCAATGCTGGGCAAGCAATCAGAAGCAAAACACATGTGGCAATTACAAATGGATATCCAGGAAAGCCCAATCTGTAACCATAGGGGAGATACATACATATTACTGTTCCGTGGCATTATCAGACTTCGCAAGTAGTGGGAGAGAGTTCCGTCAAAATACTCTGGAGAGCTGGTGAAAAAAGAGATGCATGTCCCTGCTTATTTAGAATATTAGAGGGATGGGAATGAGGAAGAAGGTGTTGCAGTCCATGGGGTTATAGGTAAAGATTTAAAACAGATATGAAAGTCAGACTCAAGCAGCAAGAAATAGGGAATTAGTTTAAATAACATGGAAGCTGTCATCTAAGTAGTGTACGTGGCAAAACACCCAAAGGTCGTCTTTGAGGTGTTATTCAGGCAACATGCATGGCAATGCAGTGTAGTAAGAAGGCAGTATACTAGAAATCAGTGACAGCAGCGAAACAAGGGAAGCTAACAGCTGCAAAAGTATTTGTTGTCAGAGCAGTTAGTTGGGAACATCCAAGAAATAAAGGAACTACCCCCCACCCCAAATTCCATAAATTCTCGTGCAAGGGATTCAGGTGACAAGGAAGACAAGCGTAAACATACCGTTGCAGTAAGTGCGTCCTGACTAAAAAAATACTTATAGCAGTATAATATGCAACTGTTCAATTAACAAATAGTTGCTAATTTGGTTTTGATCTTTTCTTGCTAATATTATGTTCAGAGCTCCATATAAATGTGCATGGAGATAATACCATTCTTCCAAACAGCTTGTAGACTAGATAGGTGCATATGGCTGTCAACATGATTTCAACAAATCATGTAATAAAGCAGTCAGCTAAAGAAAACTGAGCTTGAGCATGTGAAGTTAGAAAAAATTAAGAGCTTTTTCAGTAGTTCATCAGAATTATTAAATTCAGAATTAAGTGGTAAATAGAAACTGTATAGTTATGCAACATGGAGTCACTCAAGAGTATAACTCCTATTGGTATTCTGTGTAATAGCCTTAATATCCTAAAGTCATTGCATGCTTCAGAAGTTATAATCTATTTAAATGCCATATGTTGCTTTAAGGGTTTTTTAGTGTTCATTTCTTAATATGTATTTGTAGACTAAAAACCTATTTCTAATTATCCACTACCCGTGTGCAAAATTTACAACAAAATATTTCAAGGAAGGAGGAGCTGCAGTTTCAAGTTCATTACTCCGTGTGCTCTGGTGGTCTTTAAAATACAAACTTTGGGGTTACATAATGCAGTTAGCCTCTGTCATCATTAGTGTATGCTTTCCATCCTCCAAACAGACTTTATAAGCTTCTGACATCCGGGTCTATAACAGGAGCCATTTAGAGCCCCCCTTCCTTTGACCAAAGAAGCATTTGTAGATGACAGGCAATCCTAACAGCCATCTTCTCTGGACTCTCCCTGAAAGGGGCAAAGCATCTCAGCTGGTGCCTTCCCAATTCCATGGGATGGATAATCGATACCTTAAAAGTATAAAATGGTCTTCAGAGCAATGCAGAGTGAAGTTTGGATTTGGTTTGTCACCCAAAAATGCCACCCAAAGAAGGTGGTAGTGTCTTTTTTCCTTGAGAGTGCTTTACCACGTTTTTATTTGAAATCCAGGCATGGAAGAAATGCCAGCCCTTCCCCAAGGATAAATGCCACTATCCTGTCAGTCTGACATGTAACTCAATTTGGTTATCTGCTGGTTTTTTTGAGATTGCATTTGATTTTAAACTTAAGAATTCAGAACTGTGGAAGCAGCCGAGACAGAAATCAAGGATAATCTAGTTGAACGTGTTGAATTTTTAAAATTAAATTAAATTAATATTTACCAGTCGTTTAAAGGAGGTTGGAATTTCAGAGACAAGACAGCTTTCAGACCTCTAACTGATTGTGGATTATCTTTCATTTGCAACAGAGAACAACCAGATGAACAAAAAAGCCCGTGACAGAATATCCCTGCTGGATTTGCTAATTAATATTGACCTTTCCAAATGAATGATGCTTTTTGCATGACTGGAAAAGAGACAACTTGTTTTTCTTTTATGTGAGCTT